AATGGCATCAACAGTCTAGCCAGAAATCTAAAACTCACCTCCTACTTCTTATCCCATTATCCAATCCACCCACAGCTATTGATTTTACACCATAAAATTTTGTTCCTCATGTTAGTCCACCTGTTTCTATTGCGACCACCATAGGCCATGCTTTCATCATCTCTCACACAACAGCTTCCTGTCTCTCCCTAAATCTGTTCTCTCTGCCTGTCCTATACCTGGCCAGAGCAAACTTTTTCAGATCAAATGTACAGGTGGGTCACTTTCTGCTTAAAGCTCTTTGATGAATTTCCATTATCCCTAGTCTACAAATAAAATCTTAAAGGCATATTTGTCTCACCCTTGTTATTCCTTGCTCATTATTATATTCCCCAAGCCTAGCTTAGTAGTTTTTCATGGTAAATTCTTATGTATTTAAGGGATGAACAAAGGAAGGAATGTATGAAAGAACCAAACCAATAATTGAGAAATATAAACTGTTCCTGTGTTTCCTTCCTCTTAGGCTGCATGTGAATATACATGCACATTTACAGAGGTACAAATGAAATACTGTTTCTGCATAAAATGTTTATCTTTGATGACTTCTCTTTTTTGTCTTTTCACATCCCCTCTTATCCACCCATACCTTTACCCTCCTCCATTCTTCTTTGTACCATTTTATTTTTCTGAAGTTGCTGAGCTACATACAGTTCAAGAACCTGTTTTCTTCTCTCCATGCACTTAATGAAGGCCAACTATTTGAAATTCATATGAATGATTGTCTTACTATAAGATTATTTGGTATGCATGAGAGCAAGCAAACACCTTTTTGGGGTACTGCAAAATAGGTAGTTGTACTCCCAGTGGAGAATCAAATCCACCAGTTTATAAATTAGGGTCCCAGCTAATGAGGCAAAAAGCTGCAAGGGTCAGTCAGACGAGTACTTGAGAATCATCTCAAGAGTTTCATTATGAATGGTCTTGCTCTGCTCTTCACAGACAATGTCAAAGCCTTTAGAGAGCCGAGGAAGACTGGGTGGTAAGAGTGTGATAGATAAATGGGATAGTAAATGGAAGTTGGAGAGTATTTTCCTTGTGAGTCAGGTGGTTTCCAGGGAGAAATGAAGTCTCATTTTGTAATGTTATGTCCACCTATGAGTTGGCCCTCAGAGACTAGGAATTAACCACAGCTCCTATCATTTTTGTATTTTAAAGGTAACTAAAAATGAAGGCTGTGGCCTTTTTAAAGATGAGTTTTTGCTTATTTATTTTCATTAAGGAGCTATGGCATAATTATTTAATAATTTACATGTTTTGGTGTTTCTGAGCTGCTTCTGGAAGATATCTCACTTGATCTTCAGTCTGTAAAAGTGCAGTTAGGCAGGCAGGTTTTGTAAATGATGAACCAAAGGTGGAAGAAGCCCAGCAGAGAAGTCCTGTAGCCAGTTGGGTGTTTGAAACCAGGACTCCACTCCCTGTTTCATCACACTATTGTATCTAATCCCAGTTACTAAATTTGTGTCAATTTTACAAACTTCTTAAACTGATGGGGAAGGGTTTTGAGATCCACAGATAAAGGGTGTCTATTAGGTTTAAAATATTAACCAAGAGAATAAAATGCCTATAAATAAATATAGAAACCGAAGAGAAAATATTGTTTTTATCAGAGCAGAAGCTAATTTAGTAGTTTAGTGTCATTAAAAGCCATAAATGCCTGGGGACAGTATTTCCACTGGTTTCAGCTGTTGTCTATACTGTTTCGGCTGTTTGTGTACACACACACACATACCCCTTTACCCATCTTCTTAGTGTCTTGTGAATGCAGATATCATAGCCACAAAAAAGGGAGCAGCCCTAAAACAAAAAATGGCCCATTTCTTTTGGAAGAACAAAAGTTACAATAAAAGTCTGCTTTCTGGTTTTTTGCTTGTTTGGGGTGTGCGTTTTACACTTAACCAATGTTAGGTAAAGATAAATTAGGTTACTATCACCCTGTTTGTTTTATAACACTGAAGAAATAAATATTTGGAAATAATTTTAAAGACTGTTTAGGTTCACTTTTTTGTAAGTATTTGAACAATATTGTTTTCTGACTATTTAAATTTATATTCATGGGAACCCAGAGTTGAATTATATACTTATGGGACCCCAGATTTGAAGAGAGGCAAGTTATAGGAGTTTTATGGATGAGAGATTTCATAAGTAGATAATATAATACATGGATCTTTTGATCTCATGTATTGCAGGGAGAGTATCACCGATTGTGTTTGTCACACTTCCAAGTATAGCATTAACCCCCATCCTAGTCTCTCTACCTCTGAAAGCTCTAAGCCACTAAAACCATGAGCATAAGGAGACATCTATTCTGGCTTATCTCCTCTGGGTATGGTAACTAAACTCCAGCTTAAATACAGTTGGTAAAGGCATGCAGTTGTCATAAACGGATCTCTTAGAGCTCTCAAATAGGCACAGTTCTAAACAGTTCACATTCAATAATTCATTGAATTCTCACCACAAACCTATGAGGTAAATACAGTTATCTCTAGGTTATAGTCTGGTTGAATGTCAGTTCCTCTACTATGTGTCCTTTGACAAATTATTTAACCTTTCTTTACTTCAGTTTCCTCATCTGCAAAATGGAGATGATAACTTTCTTTACCACTTTTGTGTTGAGGATTAAATAAAATCCAAGTATAGCACAGCAAATGTGCATATCTGGCTGGCACTTAGTGAATGCTTGTAGATGTTAGCTATGGTTATTTAACTAGTTTATGATTGATTACATGGCAAAAGAGATCACTGTTACAAGAATTGGTATTAAGTAGCTATGTGATTGTGGGTAAGTTTTCTAGTTGTCTTATACCTATATTTTTAAACCTTTTATTTGGAAATAACTTCAAATTTACATGAGACAAAAATAAAAATAGTATAGATATGACACTAAAAGCACAGACAACAAAAGACAAAATAAATTGGACTTCGTCAAAATTAAGTTTTGTTCAACAAAGGACACCAACAGAATGAAAAGACAACCTACCCAATGGGAGAAGATATTTGCAAATCATGTATCTGTGATGATAAGAGTTTAGTAACCAGAGTATATAAACAACCACAACTCAACAACTCTCCCCCCCAAGAAAAAAGGCAAATGAATAGTCATCTCTCCAAAGAAGATATATAAATGGCCAATAAGCACATGAAAAAAATACTCAGCATCACTAATCATTGGGGAAATGCAAATGAAAACTACAATGAGATAACCATTTTACATCCATTAGGATGACTACTATAAAAAAAAAAAAATGACGTCAAGGATGTGGAGAAATTGGAACCCTTGTAAATTGCTGATAGGAATAACAAATTATGTAGCCACTGTGGAAAACCTCAAAAAATTAATTACCAGATGATCAGGCAATTCTGATTCTGGGTATACAACCAAAAGTATCAAAAGCAGGAACTCCAAAAAGATATTTGTACACCAGTGTTCATAGTATTGTTCACAATAGCCTAAAAGTGAAAACAACCCAAGTGTCTATTGATGACATAATAGGTAAACAAAATGTGGTCTATACATACAGTGGAACTATTCAGCCCTAAAAGGGAAGGAAATTATGGCATACACTACAATATGGATTAACCTTGAACACATGCTAAATGAAACGAGCCAAATGTAAAAGGACAAGTATTCTATGTTTCCACTTAAATGAGGTACCTAAAATAGTCGGACTCATAGAGATAAAAAATGAGAGTGGTGTTTATAAGGAGCTGGGGGGAGGAGGGAGTTGGTGTCTAATAGGTACAGTGTTTCAGTATGGGATGGTGAATAATCTTGGAGATGGAGGATGTGGTGATGGTTGCCCAAGAAATAAAGGTATTCATTGCTACTGAACTGTACACTTAAATATGGTTAAACTGGTAAGTTTCATGTGTATATTTTACAGTAATTTTTAAAATACATGTTTCAACAAAAAGTAAAAGTAGTACAAAAATCTGTATCCCCTTTACCCAGATTTACCTATTTAATATTTTGCCCCATTTGCTTTATCATGTGTGAGTGTACTCTTGAGTATACCTAATCTACCACCTAAATTCAACTTTTGTCATTTGATCTTGAAAGTATTGTTTTTTGGGTTTTTTTTTAATAGCATCTTCCCCCCTCCAGTATAGGATATAGTCTAGGGTAGGACATTGTATTTAGTTGTCATGTCTTTTTAGCCTTCCTTTGTCTTTTATAATATTGACTTTTTTTTTAAAGAGCACCTTTCCCTTCCACCGTAATAGAATCTTCCTCGTTTTCTGTTTGTCCAGTGTTTCCATGTAATTAGATTGAAGTTATACAGTCTTGGCCAGAAAACTGCATAGGTGATGATGATGTCCTCTTCAGGTTATGACATCTGGAGACTCGGTACATTTTTAATTGAATGCAGGGTGACGGGAATCAACGGATACTATAGGAATCAGAAGAGTCAAGGAAGACATAAAGGAGACTTAATTTATAGATTCGGTAGAAATCATATTTCTAAAATTTTACCAGTTTTCTCTCAAATTTTGCATTAGTTCAACCAATATATATTACTGTTTTCTGCCAGTTTTTATTAAGCTTGTCCCTGTATTAAATCAAGAGGAGATTCCTGATTTTTTAAAATTTTAATGAAATTAAGTGTGTCAAATGATGACCAAGGATCTACTGATTATTATATAAGGTTCCCCAAATGATTTGGATCAGTATAAAATGATGTTAAATTTTGATACAAAGAACATCCAAACTTTAGATGAGAGGTAAAAAGCTACATTGCAGAATAGGATTGGGGCTAATATAGGTTTAAGTTTCTTGGGGTTTTGGTTTGTGGTTTTTTTTCATGTTATAGGAAACACTATTGTTGACACAGTTGGGATATATGTATTGGTTTAACAGGTAAGAAAATCAGAGGTATATTTGGGGCCATTCTTATAAGTTGGTTTTTCTTGCCATATACTTTAAAAAAATAATTTATTGGCCTTTGTGCATTTTGTCTCTGCAGTTTGAAGAAAACAGGTCTGAAACAAAGTCTTACCCCCAGCTGTCTCTGAACACAGTGACTGCCAGATCTCCAAACATCAAGTCCAGCTTTGTCCGCCAACCTGTCTGACATGTCGGGACCCGTGCCAAGCAGGGCCAGAGTTTACACAGATGTTAATACGCACAGACCCCGAGAGTACTGGGATTACGAGTCACATGTGGTGGAATGGGGGTAATTGTTTCCTTTCACTTCACTATACTCACCAAAGGGCTGACTCTTGTGGATTTATTGAGAGATTTATGACTGCATTTATAAATTGCAAGATCAAAGTCTGATTTGTGTTTTCTTTTCCAATGAGGAAGCATGGCGTTGCTTTGGGAAATTAACAATTTTGATAGGCTTATCATTTAATTTCAGTCTCATTCTTTTCTCAGATTTATATATTCTGTATACAAAGCTGGTAACAAAGAGTTGCCTATCAATTTGCTTCAACTAAGGGCTTTGCAGTTAGGTGAGAATTAATACTTGGGAGGCTTTAAAAACATCACATTCTTATGTAAAGTATTTTTGAGGTCAGAGAATGTTGTCTCATGATGATATTGAAGGATGAAACAGTTCTCCAGAAAGGTGTCCTCTATCTAATGAGAAGCAGAATTAAAGCCTTAAAACATTTACCCTTATCATGAGACTAAGCATGTGTAACATGGGATTCAGCCCAAATACCATCTTGAAAAGCTACATTTGCGCTTCTGATTCTTTATGCAGCCTCATTTGGATTTTTGCATATTTTATACCAACATGGTATGTATTTAATTGATCAGGTTATAACTTTTCGTGATAATATTTTGACAGTCAAATGCAAAAGAAAGCAATTTGAAAACTCATAAAGCTACAGCTCCTATATGCTTCATTTTATATCTATCCATCTTTGTCCATAGTCTGTAAGTTGATAAATAATTGTCATGGATGTATTTTAATCATGATTGGGCCATGATTCTTAACAGTAAGTACATTGCCTCTGCACAAGGAAGCATAGTGTGCTTCAAAGATGCCATCAAAAACCAGTGGTACAATACCAATTAATGTTGTCATTATTAATAATCTAACAATTCCTCTTATGTCATGGGCTTTGGACTCTAGAAATACCTGTGTTTTGCTACAGAAACTTCAACCACTGTATTCAAATTGAGTGCTTTGCACTTAGTTCTGCTTAACTATCACTAAACAGCCCTTTCGAGTTTTTGGCATGGTGCTATTTGGTTGTTTGTGTTTGATTCTATACCTTCTTGCAGGAGGAGAACTCAACCAGAACTAAGAGCCTTCCTCTAAAATTGCCATGCTACTGCATTGTTCGTTTTCCTTAGTATCTTTTGCTTTCTCTGTTCATTCACTTTCTTTTTAGGTGCTTGAATTCTCAGCGTCTCTAGCAGGAATAAATAGAATTTCGGCTTTACTAAAAGGACCATGTTTGTCATTCTTTAGAGCAGAGGTCCCCACCCCCCCAGGCTGCAGACTGGTACTGGTCCGTGGCCTATTAGGAACCGGGCCAAACAGCAGGAAGTGAGCAGCGAGTAAAACTTCATCTATTTGCAGCCACTCCCAAGCACTAGCATCACCGCCTCAGCTCCACCTCAGATCATCAAGAATTAGATTCTCATAGGAGCACCAGTCCCTGGTGCCAAAAGGATTGGGGACAGCTGCTTAAGAGCAAAGTCATCTAAATTGTAGGCAGAGGCAGAGAGAAAATATTGGCTTTTCCCTTATTTTTTAAGCTACATCAAACATCTGATGTAGCTTAGTGGTCATGGAATATGGGTAAAAGGAGAGGAAGGTACTCCTAACTATGGTTCATTATCTGTAGTATGGTTTGCAAACTCTATTATATGGACTGTCCTCAGAGCTCGCCTTGGAAGGCAAGTGGGAGGTCAACCCTCTATGTTTGCAAGCCCATTAAAAATCGGCTGCTCTGCAAGTGTGGCCGAGTTGAAGTATTCTTATAACATGTTCACTTCCTGCTAGGTGTCAGCACTGGGCCAGGCACTGGGAGACAGGAATATATAAAAATTATTCTCCATTGGAAAGCCATCTATTGGAGGCAGGCGTACATAACAAACCCTAATACAGGCTGGCTATGTGTGGTATGTCAACAGAGATGTAAACAGTTTGAGATTTGAAAGAATAATTAGAAGGCTTAAATTTTCTAATTGTAGGAACAGACAGACATTTTTAATTGGCCCAATTAAAAAAATACAAAGTAACCAATTTGGAAATTATTTAAAATAACATTTCTTTTACTCCTACTAGTAATAGAGGTTTATAAGTTGAATTAGTGCTTGACAATTTGAACTTTTTAAATCGTTGACTTATGATTCTTTTTGTTCACAGAAATCAAGATGACTACCAGCTGGTTCGAAAATTAGGCCGGGGTAAATACAGTGAAGTATTTGAAGCCATCAACATCACAAATAATGAAAAGGTTGTTGTTAAAATTCTCAAGGTGAGTACAAGAAGAGGTTATAATTTTAGAGGTATTTGGAATTTAGATTTAAGTAATGATGATGCCTTTTTTAAAGCAGCATTTGAAAAGGTTTTTGGAGGACTTTTAACACCTTTATTTTATTATATCCTCTGAAATTAATAGACAAATCAGGAAACCAAAACAAGAGAGATTTGACTCAAGTCATACCAGCTAGATTATGGCAGAGGAAGGGAGTAAAGGTTCAGTCTTCTCTCTCCTAGGTCTAATATTGATTTGTTTGCCTAATAACTGATTTTCTCTACTTTTAGTTATATTCCATGCTTTTATTTTCAATAAATGTTACCTCTACTGTGTAAAGATGCGCAGTCACAAATACAGGCCTTTAGAGGGCAGGCAGATGACACGCAGCTAGTCTGATGTAAGTGCCCATGATTAGAGGAGGTGAGTGGGTGCTGCAGCATGTGCTCCAGCTCCAACCAATTATTCCCTTGCTATAGTGCAAGTCCAGTGTTGCTTGATACTCTTGCAAAAAGAAACTAGAAATTTAGTATATGAATCGCCTCAATTTTTCAGTGTCGACTCAAGAGATTTTAAGAACACTGTACAGATTCTAATTCAACAGGTCTAGGTGGGTCCTGGGAATTTGTGTATTTAAAACAAAAATCCAGGTTAAAATCCGGGTTGTTGGTTATCGTGGTTTAGTAGCCACCAGTCTTGTTAGTGAAGTGATGATATAAATTTAAAACAATTTCTGAGAATTGTATGCAGCGTGTCAGTAGTCTGAAGTGATTGATATCCGAGGAAAGACCTGCGTGGTTCAGTATGGCAGGCATGGGGTCACATGTGACTTTCGAGCATTTAGGTGCGACTGGTCCAAATTGAAATATGCTCTAAAGATAAAATATACTAGATTGCAAAGGCTTGGTACAAAAAAATATATAAAATTACTCATTAGTAATTCTTCGTATTGATTTACATGTTGAAATAAGATTTTGAATATATTGTTAAAATATATTAAATACTTTTTTAACATAGATACTAAAATATTTAAAATATATATGTGGCTTGCATTATATTTCTTTTGGACCAGTGCTGTTTTAGACTATTTAGAAGGAAGTCCTTGTGAAGGAGGTGCAGTTGGACCAAAGCCCTCCTTAGATACCACAACAGATGTGAAATGATGGATGAGGACAAAGGAATATGAAAGATACACTCAAAGGACTCTACATAGTGGTCTTTTTAAAATAGAGGGAAGGGGTTCACATTTCTTTTTTGCAACAGTCTTATGAGATAGGTATTCTTGTTGATCATTTTATCCATAATGAAAGGCTTAAAGAGGTTATATAACTTGCCCGTAGGCACACACAGCTAGCAAAATAGGATTTGCATTAGGCAGTCTTAATTCCAGGCCCACTTCAAACCCACAAGGTTATGCTGCACAAAGATGGTTTGGCCATCCTGTTCTTGTTCCTGTTTCCATAACCTCTATTGATTGTTTATATAGACTTAGAGGAAGAAGTAGAAAGAGCCCATGTTTCATCCCAATTGATAAAAAGATTTTCCAAGATAGACCTTAGTATTATTAACCATTCATAATTCCTAGTTTGTATAGTTGTAAAAAATTAACATATTAAGACTGATGATTGGAATTAAATGCTGATTCTACAGAGGTTTGATCTTTGAAATGAAAACCTTTTTTCTTTCGATTCAACATTTGCTAAGGACCTGCAGAGTGCCTGGCACAGGGCTAGGAGAATAGGATTTAAAGTAGAGTCTGACACATTTCCTTCCTTAAAGGAGCTCATAAGTAAGCCATTTATGTATTACATTACCTGTTGAAATACCCTGAAATGCTTTATTTCACCGATGCTGCTTTACCCTTTCAGCCAGTAAAGAAGAAGAAAATCAAGCGTGAAATAAAGATTTTGGAGAATTTGCGAGGTGGTCCCAACATCATCACACTGGCGGACATTGTAAAAGACCCTGTGGTGAGTGTATAGTAGACACTAGCAAGGCCCACTAGGGCTGAGGTGGTGTTTGCCCTGGAGCACAGCTGGCCTCTTTTCGTTGCCCCCCTCTACCATTAAGTCCTGCTTTAAAAGTGCTTAATCAGTTATACCATTTAACTAGCTTGGGTCTTTCTTTCAAAGAGACCTCCACCCACAGACTATTTCTTATTCTTCTAGGCTAAGAGACTGATAGCACTGGAAACTGAAATGTGTTAATCCATTTTGCAAACTCAGGTCCGATGCCGAGGGGCGATGGGCGCATTGTCGGGCTGCCTACAGCCTGGTGAGACTTCAGCTCCATGTCTTCTGTTTGAAATCCATCCCAAAACTGACCTAAATGTGGTGATGATCAGAGTGGGGAGGGCTTGTAGCAATAGAGGGTTTCCTGCTACTGAGGCAAGGACTGCCAAATTCACCACGTAGCATCCGCAAACATTGTGCCCACTAAAGCTGCCAGGGCTATTGCTAATGAGTGTTTTCTTTTTCTTTCCCCTAGTCACGAACCCCTGCCTTGGTTTTTGAACATGTAAACAACACAGACTTCAAGGTATAATATATAACTGACTATTTCAAGTTGTTGGGTTTTTAGACCACATAGAAATCCTTTTAGGGATGTTACTATTAGAAGAACTTTCATCTTACTAGCTTAAAAAGAGCTTTTTATCTTTACAGTGTTAAATTTTAAGATAAAAATACTCCTGTACAAACTGCCCACTTTCTACCTCTTGATGTTTTGCCCTTTTGTTTCATGCTTTTTTTTAATGAGCCATACATTTACTTCTCGCCACCTTTACCATTCATTTGATAGTTTCTGCTGATGAAAGCAATAACGTGTTCAGTAGGATGTCTGGCCTAGGGCATTTTGCTTTAAAATGACAGTGTTCAAGAAGAAATGTATTGTGTATGTAAAAGCAAGGTCTGCTTATGTTTTAGGATTCCTCGGAAACTGGGCTCTAGATTTTAAAAAGGGATGAGTGGGGAAGGGTAGTATAAATTCTGCTACAACACAAACTTCTACAATAGCTATCTCTGACTTCTAGCCCATCCATCGGCCTACTTATTTCAAACAGTTCTCAATTCCAGTACAACAGAAGAATGTGGGCACTCTCTTGGGTTTTGACTTGCCTTTGTACCAGTCTAGTGTCAAGAATGTTAGGTATCAATAAATGAGTGAATTCTTTTGCTGAGAGGAGGAAAAAAAGGAAGAACTGTTTTAGAACCAGAGTAGTAATTCAGAGAAAACATTGTCAGAAGACATCACTAACCATTTAATGATATGTGCATGTTGTTTTAAAAAAAAAAAAAACAAAAACAAAAACAAAAACAAAACTACAACTCTGGAAACTGGGAAGGATACATAACAGTTGTTCAGAGTCTACTTCCAAATCGGGACAGGAATAGTTCTGTTAAATTAGCTTGACAGATTTGACAGCAGGCCATCTATCTACATACCCAGTGCCTATAACTATGTAAGCCAAAGATGGGTTAGTTCCCTACTAAGGAGGCTGTGTACTTGCCAAAATGCTTTTTTTGAGAAGACATGGGGGTGGGAGGCGGTAAATGAAAAAGCAAACTCAAATTACAAATATATATTGATGCATGTTGCATATATGAATTGGTATGTTCCCAATAGTGGATTATAGCTTCAGCAATACAAATTTATGTAATTCTTCACTTTTACATGTAGAGTTGAAGACCCAAAGTATCTCTTTAAAGTGAATATTATGTTGGAGAAGTAGAGACTGGTGTAGAGACAGATCTTGGAACGATGGCAAATGAGCCAAGTCTTGGTTTGAATTACAACAAATGAGGATGAGAAATTGCCTTCCATCAGCAGTATTTCATGGCTCAAATGTTGCATTTGTCTTTAACAGCAATTGTACCAGACGTTAACAGACTATGATATTCGATTTTACATGTATGAGATTCTGAAGGTAAGGGGACCTTGAATACTAAATATTTCTAGATTGATCTTCCCTTGTTAAATAACCCAGATGACTGTAGAAAAGCCAGTGAATTAACTTTGTAAAATATGTTGAAAGAAGGTGCCTCTTCTGCTAATGTAAGGGTTATGGGATAGGGCTTAGTAGGAATATAATTTAGAATGCTTTGGAAAGGCTGTTTTATTTAGAAGAGAGCTGGGATCCCTTAAATAATTGTAATCTCCATCTTGCTCCTATAAAAATTAACAATTGTCCAAACTTGTAAAAATAGCTCCTAATGTGCTGGCTTCTGGTGTACTTTATTTCACTTAAAGTTGAACAAGTAAAACAGTAAACTTTTAACTCAACCATCAGTCATTGTCCTAAGGACTATGTAAATTTCTACTTAGAGATTGCTGAGGTAGAGTGGACTTTGATTTCTAAAGTGGGATCACCAGCTTGCTCTTGGGAGTCACGAGATCAGCATTATAAGTGAGAAAATTGCTAAATGTTGGCTAAAGTTTCTTACTAAATGAGGGTTGACTTAAAGCCCACATTTGAACCTTAGGAGTACCTTGAAGAGACTATGCCAGCAGAGATATTTGATCTTTCCATTGGCTCATGCAATCTGTGGCAAGCAGTTCTTCACAAAGTTAAGGATATGCCTGCCTGCCCTGGGAACCATAGGAACCCAAATTGCCCTTCAGGAAGGACAAGAATTTATTTGGCCAATGACATCAGCTGACTTAAAGGCCAGGATTAGCAATCTCCAACGGTTATGCCACTCACTTCACCTAAGTTTGAGATTGCACATGGTTTTCAAATTGGATTTGATGTCATAAATCAGGAGTAGACAAACTTCTTTACAGGGATAAACAGTAAAATTTTAGGCTCAGTGGACCATAGGGTCTTTCCCAGACTACTCAGCTCTGCTGCTATAATGTGAAAGCAGTCACAACATGCAAACAAATAGGCATGGCTGTATTCCAATAAAATATTCACAAAAACAGCAGGCCATATTTGGCCCATGGGCTATGATTTGTCAACCTCTATTGTAGACTCTTGGCTGCTACAGAATAAGTTGTAGTACAAACTAGTTTTCTTCTTTTGAGGGGCCTATGTTTATGAAAATAATCGAGGCTTTGGGTAAGGGGTAAAAATTGGAAGTGATGCAATTGGTGTACACGTTGGGTCTTTTTGAACAGAAAAGATGTTGAAACAACTGTGCAAGAACAGAACATGTTCAGAGGCCATGAGCTGGTGGGATCTTGAACAAGTCTCTGAAGAATAGCTATGTGGGTGATTGTCCTCTAACCCTGATTGCCAGGGGTATTATGAGGCTAGAAGGAAAACTGTGAAGGAAAAAGTAAAGGACTTTAACTAGAAAGACACTCTTATACATGCTAACTCTTTCTTTCTTTTCCTCCCACAGGCCCTGGATTATTGCCACAGCATGGGAATTATGCACAGAGATGTGAAGCCCCATAATGTCATGATTGATCATGAGCACAGAAAGGTAAAGTGATAGACTGACAGGTAAAGTGATAGACTGACAAGTCTTCTTTATCAACATAATATATTGAACAGCCTATCTTCAGCACTTTATCCCTAGCATCTGTCATAGTTTCTGGTACCTGTTAGGCACTTAACAAATATTTGGTGAGTGAATGAATGAAGAAATCAGAAAATTTAAACTATTATTCATATTCCTAAGAATATCAAAAAGAAAACATTAGTGTAGTGGGCAAAACATTAGTTTTAAGCAGGGAAACTGGCTTCTCATTTTATTTATTGAATAATATCTTGAGAAACTCCTTTTTCATTTGCCTCCTCTTACCTTTACAACAGGCATAATAATATTTGCCTTGCATGCCTCTGGGTTATTAAAAGAATTAAGTGTACACAGTTATGAAATGAATGAAATATTTAGAAAATGCTGCTGCTTATCAGCAAGTGTCATGAGGCCCCTGAGCTCTACAAGTGCTTTTAATGAGAGCTGCGTGCTTTTTAACATTTCAGTGTTATATGGTAACCAAGCATACTTTTCTAGGCAGTGATGGTTCTCTGTTGTAGTCTTTGTGGAGGTAGGTGATGTGTTCATTCCACTAATATTTCTTCAGGTACACACTGCTGTGTAATAGGTATTTTTCTAGAGGCTGGGAATTTATGCATGAGACAAATAGTAAAAAGATTCTTTCCATGGGGAGCTTGCATTTGGGGGAGATTAGTGGGCTAGAAAATTAAAAGTGATGTGGAAGAAAAATAAGTTAGGAATAAGGAACAGTGGAGAGTGTTGGCAGTTTTAAACAAGGGGTAAAGGGAAGATTTCATTGGAAAGGTGACATTTTTGGAGAACCCTTGGAACCAGCCATGCAACCTATGTCCCAGGTGGAGGATATTCCAGATGCAAAAGCCCTAAGGCAAGAATGTGCTTGGCATGTTGGAACAGCAGCAGGATAGAACTGGGACAGAATGAACAGGGGAGAGAGGGGTAAAGAGAACCAGATCATATAAAACCCTAATTATCATTATCAGGCCTTTTCTCTGAAGATGCATAGCTTTTGCAGGGTTTGAGGAGAAGGTTGACATGTTCTCACTTGGGTTTTAAAAAGTTTACTACACATGTATTTCAGAACAGCTAAAATTAAAAATAGTGACAATACCAGATACTGGCAAGGGTGCAGAGAAACTCAGTCTCTCGCACATTGCTGGTAGGAATCTAAGTGGCACAGCCATTTTGGAAAATGCCAAACTGTTAATTTATAGTTTTTCAACTTCTTTAAAAATTAAACAAACATGCTTACCAAATAATCTAGCAATGGCATTTATCCCAGAGAAACAAAAACATAGGTCCAGACAAAAACCTATGTATGAATGCAGCTTTATTTGTAATAGCTCAGAATTGGGAAGGGGGAGGGAGTCCTTCAGTGAGTGAATGGTTAATCAAACTGTGGTATGTCTGTACCATGTAGTGTTATTACTGAGTAGTATGACTCAGCAATAAAAGAAAGAACTATTGGTAATACACCAACTTGAATGGATCTCATGCTGAGTAAAAAAAGCAATCTCAAAAAGTTATGCTGGTGATTCCATTTATAATATTCTCAAAATGATAGAGTTGGAGAACAGATTGGTTGCCAAAGGTAAGGAAATGAAGGAAAGGAGTAGCATGAGACATCTCTAGTGATAGAACAATTCTATATCTTCTAGTGGAAGTTATATAAATCTACACATGATTGAATTACATAGAACTACACACACACACACACACACGTAAAACTGAAGAAAAATAAGGTCTGTGTGAATTGTGTCAGTGTCGGTTTCCTGGTTTTGATATTATACTGTAGTTATATAAGATATTACCAAACTGGGTGAAGGGTACACACAGAATATCTCCAACTTCCTGTGAATTTATAATAATTTTTAAATATAAAGCTTTTAAAAGAGATCATTCTGGTTGCTGTGTAGAGAATAGAGGGCAAGAGTGAAAGCAAGAAGATCAGTTAGGAGAAGGCGCTATTGCAGGAAAACAGACAAGAGATGGTGGTGGCATGGACCAGGACAGTAGCAGTGAAAGCGATGAGAATGGTTAAAATATGGTAGAACCAACAGGATTTGTTAACATTAAATGTGGGATATAAGAGAAACAAGTCCAGAGTGAAAAATGTGGGGCCTCAATGACAAGATGAATGGAATTCCCTTTAGCTGAGAAGGGAAGCTGTAGGAGAAACGAGTCTTACGGGGAATAATCAGAGGTTTAGCTTGAGATGCCTGCAAGATGTCACAGAGGAAGAGATGGCTGGTAGAAGGCATGGGCTAGAGAGTATAGGTAAGAAACTTTGATATGCTGTCTGTGAAGCCACAGGACCAGAAATAGTCATCTAGGGATACTTATAAGAAAGGAAGCACATGGATAGCTCTGGAGCACTTACATTAAGGCATAGAAGAAAAAGACTTAAAAAGTATAACTTAAAAAGTTATACTTTCTTTCATACCTTTTGTTACATTTCCCTTTGTGTACTAAAAGAAAACAATGTATCTAGTTAACAGTGAACTTACCTAGACAGTGACAGAGTAGTCAGGCATTATTAGCTAAACCCTACTGCTCACACTTCAAATCATGGTTGTGCTTTGCACACTAAGCAAAGGTTGCTTCTTGTCCTTGCTAGTACTTTCACACTTTCAAGAGCCGTTTTGTGTGGCTTTTCTCTTGATTCTCTTGATTCACTCAGCAAATATTTTTTATTTTTCTCCTGTGTGGTGGGTATTATATAGAATTCTAGAAATTACAAAGGTGAATAAAACAGCCCCTACTGCCAAAGAGCTTACACTCCATATTGAAAAAGAAAGATAGAAAACAAATATACAGTAGATAGTTTTAGGTTGTATTAAAGAAGTATATCTGAGGTTCAGGGGATGCTAAAGGCCATGGTTGGTTCTACTTGGATAATTAGAAAAGACTTCAGTGAAAGGGCTAACAAATACTCAAAAGATGAGGAAATGTTCACCATAGGATTCTAGGATGGATAGTGGAGACATTCTGCTCAGATGAGCCATTTAAGAAATTCACAGAAGCACAAAATGAGACTGTCTTTCAGAAAGTCTCACTGGAGCACAAGAATTAGATCATGGAGAACTCTGTATGTCAAGCTAAGTTTGATTTTTATTCTAAGTATAATAATAGGTAGCTACTGATGGGGTTTCAGTAGAGAGTGACATGGCCGATATTTTTGAAAGAGTACTCTAATGGCAGTGTGGTGGTAGCCTGAAAGATAAAATTGCTCATGGTTTATTTTGTTTGTTTTGTTTTATTTCTTACAGCTAAGGCTAATAGACTGGGGTTTGGCTGAGTTTTACCATCCTGGCCAAGAATATAATGTCCGAGTTGCTTCCCGATACTTCAAAGGTCCTGAACTACTTGTAGACTATCAGGTGAGAAGAGAAAGGCAAATAAATTTTTCTGCCTATTTTTTTGCTTATTTTGTAAATAATTTGCAAAAAAATAACATTTTATGCTCTTGAGTAGGTCATTTATACACACCTCCATGGCTCGCTCTTTTATATAAATGAATGTAAAATATGAATCACCTTAGTTTGTCTATCATACTTAATGTTTTTATCACCATAATGTCAATTTTATATGAATAGATCTGCATTTGATTCTAACTAAAGAAAAAGTATACTTTTCTAGAGATACTTTTTCTAATCAGAAACTCCAGAGCTAGTTTGAGAATTATAAGCTAGGTTTAACCAATCTAAGGAGTAAACTAAAAAAATGTTTTCTACAATTTTCCTAAATTGTATTCTAGATAAAGACCTTCCCCCTACCAAAAAAGAAAAAAAAGTCCTCATATCCTCACAGAAACAAAATCCTTAGGAGTACCTAGTCTTCTCAAGTTTTATTATTAGAACCTTTAAAACTTCAGACTTTGTCCTAGAAATTTCTTTTCTGGGATCTTGAGGACATAACCCTGAGCTCAAACATTTTATGCATAAAAATATTTTTTACAACATTATTTATAAAGGTGAAAAACAAAACGTGATCCCATTAGGGGGAAATTAAAGATTAAATTCTGAAACATTTATGCAATAAAATAATACTTCACATTAAATGGTTTCCGTGGGTTAATAGTTTGAGATGTTCTTATGTAAGTGGAAAATGTAATTCGAAATAGTATGTACAGACTGTTTAAAACGGGGGGGAAATACGAAGAAGAAACTGAGAAGAGTACATGAAGATAATGGTATTCAGACTTTTCAATGGAGTGATTATTATTTTTTTTAATATCTTATTTTGAAAATACAAGATAATTCATTCTCGTCATTTCATTTATGATGACAGTGATATTTTCTTTAATGCAGATGTATGATTATAGTTTGGATATGTGGAGCTTGGGTTGTATGCTCGCAAGTATGATTTTCCGGAAGGAGCCATTTTTCCATGGACATGACAATTATGATCAGGTGATATATGTTGTTCCCATTAGGGAACTTACTGGTCTAACCTAGGTCAGGCCAGGTCTGGCTACTCTTTAGAAACTGCAGTAGTTTTTACTAAAATACAGATGCCCATTCCCTATGTGAGACCTGTTCATTCATAATCTCTGAGGGTGGGGCCCTATAATAATTTTTAATTTATGGTCTATTCAGCCAGCTTGACATTATTCCTCAGATTGGTGGTTTGGAAGCTACCAGTTTAGCCTTTTGAAATCACAGTTTTTCTGTATCTTTTTAATTTGTGTTGTTTTATTGTAAAATAGGACAGTACCTTAGAATTTCCTAATGTGAGCTTTCACTGGAGTTGGGAATGTTTTCTCCAACCTTTTGGTTTATATTGGTAGTTCTGTGATCCTTTTGTCACGTTATACGGATTGAATGGCTGTATATGTCGTTAGAAATATAGATGGTGTTTTTTATACTAGGTCCACTTGTCCTTGAAGATCAGTTAAAATCAGCAGTTACTCCATATCAGGCATCATGCAGGGTTGGGGAATACAGGGGGGAAAAAAAAAAAGACTAGTCCTCAAATAGTTCATAGTCTGTCTGGCAAAGGAATCAAACATAAGGAAATAAGTTATAAATATCAGAGTAGAAGTGTAGACAAGGTACAAAAGGCAGTTGTGGTAGGAGTGCGTAGTCCAAGTGTACAAAGGAAACTTCCCAAAAGAAGTGACACCTTCAGCTGGGTTGTAAGGGGGAAAAAGCGTAAGACTTCATCAGAGAGACATTTGAAGGAGAAGGAACCAGGTTATAAAGCAGTTTGTTTTTTCCTTCACGTTAAGTAATAGTTTGAGGAATTTTAGGTGGAAATTTTATGAAGTAAATTGAAGTGTAGCATTCATACCTGTAGCCCTGATGATCCCTTTCTGTTAATGTAGCCATAGTTAACGTTGATTTAATCAAGTAATGTGCTTGTCCTGTGGGTTTTTGTCTTTCTTCAATCCTAGTTGGTGAGGATAGCCAAGGTTCTGGGGACAGAAGATTTATATGACTATATCGACAAATACAACATTGAATTAGATCCACGTTTCAATGATATCTTGGGCAGGTAAATCATAAAACAAAATCTCTGCATCCCTGCCTTAAACACTTTTGGGTATAAATGGACACTTTGGTTCTTCAAAATAGTTACATTCTCTTTGCCAACACTGCTCAGCTGTCAGTGGTTCAGTGCTACAGCATGCTTCATGGGCAGGCCTGTGATAAAAGCACTGGATTGAATGACCATTTTCCCAGATTAACAGGAGTCCGCATGTAGACATTATAGTCAGAGGATTCCTATGAAATGAATGAAATGTAGACTCTAGTTACAGCTGGATCAGATATCAAAATCTCCTGATTTAGCTTGCTTCTCCAAACGACAAAGTCCTCTTTAAGAGAAAGAAATAGTAATAGAAAATGCATGCTTCAAAACTACTGTGCAGATGACAGACTCTGAAAACAGTGACTAGACACAATACTGATTCATTCACTGCTTATCAGGTGGTGGACTTTCCTGATGCAAAGGCTTTTGCTGGCCAAATGGCAGAGATACCAAGAATGTGTGTGGGGATGGGAAAGAGGTCTGATTAGCCCAGCCACCTGACCCTCCTCACTGTGTAGAAGCATTCAGTCCTGCAAAGTAACCTGAATTATATTTTCATAAAATTGTCAAGACCCAGATTTCCCTTTTCTGCAACACTCCTGTTTCCAATCTCTCCAATTAGCTTTGTTGTCTCCCTAGTGGCAGAGTGGTATAAGACTACTCTCTTGAGTTTTGATCTCTCTCTCTGCTATTGGCTGGGCTCTCAGCCACTAAGGAAAATGAGGAGTGAAATGTTGGGCTTCTCTGCCCTTTAGTTTGTTTCTCATTCCCCTTTTGACTCTGCAGACATTCCCGTAAGCGATGGGAGCGCTTTGTCCACAGTGAAAACCAGCACCTTGTCAGCCCCGAGGCCTTGGATTTCCTGGACAAGCTGCTGCGATACGACCACCAGTCACGGCTCACTGCAAGAGAGGCCATGGAGCACCCCTATTTCTGTGAGTCCAACTGATCCACAGAGCCTGTGCAGGCTTGCCCAGCAGACTGTACAAGGCAAAGGAGAATATAAGCTGTGAAGAAAGCTCTGAGCCTACAGTCCTACAGAACAGTTGGAATCCCAATTCTGCCTAGCTTGCGGCACTTCACCCATGATGAACCTTGGTTTCTTCAAATAAGGACGGTGATAGCAACTCTGTTGCAGAATTGTAGGAAGGATTCTTGTGTTACAGAGCACCTGATACGTGATCTCTCCTAAATAAACTGCTTTTCTTACTGTGTGGGTGACACTTCCCAGGGGCTAGTCTGGAGTGGTTGGATTATAACAAACAGCCCTTATCTGTCCTATTTCTGGTAATCATTTATTAGAGAGAGCCAAGGAGGCTTGAAAATCTTAACCATATGAACACCTTGATCTAGGTTTGTGAGTGTAGCTAACTGCGCTTTCTTGGGTGAAAATGTCACTTAGACCCACTCTATCCTCACTGTAATGTTAGCTTCGATGTTAGATTGTTCTTTAGGCAATGGTGGAATGGTTTTGTAGGGAATTGATTATACTCTTACCCAGTCTTCTATACCTGAAGCAGACTGACAGGCCAAGTGAGATGGAGAGTATAGTCTGTGGTCATAGCACTAATTTGCACAACCCTATAGTTTTGGCCTATTTGGCACCATGCTTGACCAGCTGAGTTGTGGATGGCAGTAAGACAAGTTCACTCTGATAATATATCATTGTCTAGGCCAGGTTAGATCCTGTTGTCTCATTAAGGCCTAATGGGATCAGTTTTGTTTTAAATGAGCTCTACCTCATCTTCCTACCATTTAGTTTAAGAGGTTGCCTTACCATGGTTTGACAGGAAAGATAATTCTATTTTTTATTATTTGTCTGGTAGTTGCCACCTTAGTTCTGAGAATAATGCGGATTATAAATAAAATGCAAAGAATGAGGGTGATTACTTTAAGTCCGTTAGTTTAATTGTTAAGTATAACAGAACCTAACCTTTCTGTCTCTTTTTTTAGACACTGTTGTGAAGGACCAGGCTCGAATGGGTTCATCTAGCATGCCAGGGGGTAGTACACCTGTCAGCAGCGCAAATATGATGTCAGGTCAGTTCATCGGTAAACTTCCTTTTTAAAAAAAGAAAAAAGGCAGAAGTCAATTATTCTTCCTAGTTTTGGTTTCTGTGGCCTGGTTTGTGGACTTCCTCTTCTCTGTAATGATTACCTTATTAACATACTGACCCGTGTGGCTCTTTCCACCAGGTTTCAGGATGCTTTTGACACGTGGTATACTTTAGTGACACTGCCTTGAGTAGGGTATCGTAGGGTATCGACAGCCTCTTCTAGACCAGAATCCCAATAATTTCTCACAGAAAGACATGGCTATATTTGTGGTTAAAAATGATTTTTTTTTCCCAGAACAGTTACAGTGTTCCTAGTAAATTGTAAAGGTTTAAATGAAATTATTTTTCATTATGATTGAGTCATTATGAATTAAAGCAAGATTTTTGTACAGACTGTACAATTATTCAAAAGAAACTATAGGCCCATCTTCTAAGAATTATACATGTAGGCAACATCCACGTGGGTACACTGTGATAGTGAGGGCATTTACTCAGACACCCTCGAAGAATTGCTGTTTTCCCAACTCTTTTTTAAAGAACTAGCTGCCTTCTAGAATTTATTCTCTGGGTATCTTGCCTGTGTGCAAAATGATGTACATCCAAAGTTACTCATCGTAGCCTTATTTATGATAGCAAAACACTGAAGACAGCTCTCAGGGAACTGGTTAAATAAATTACAGGACAACAATTCAGTAGAATGCTATATAGCCTTAGAAAAAGAATGAGTAAATGTTACATATTTTTTTCTGGCTCCAACTTCAGGGTTAATGTGTAATGAAATAAGCAAGATGCAGAACCATGTCCAAGACAGGAGTGGGCAAAAGTATATAATACTCTTATTTATGATTCTTATATGAATATTCTTATTCATATGTATGTGTAAGATATTTCTGGGAGGATACACCCCAGAAATTGTACCGTAAGTTAGCCAAGTGACAGGACAAGGGAGATTTTTCACTGTGTACTCTTTTGGACTTTTTGGATATAGTGCCTGTTCAAAAAATATAACATTTTGAAAATTGAATAACTGGCTTATTGAAGGCAGTAGGTAATTCTGATCATCAGATAGGTGGAAGAAACCAAATGGAAATAAATTCTAAAACACTATTTTAGCTTAGAGATGGGAAATGCTCCTTTCTCCATTGAAAATGACTTCTAGTGATTTTGAATTTTTAGCCGGCAGCATGGTGTACATGAGCTTTGACTCCAGCCATCTGCTGTTTAGAATAGTAGTAGTGACTAGCCACATGTGGCTATTTAAATCAATTAAAATTTAAATCAATTAAAATATAATACAATTTAAAAATGAGTTCTTTATTGGCACTAGCCACATTTCAAGTACTTGGTAGCCACGTGTGGCTAATGACCACCATGTTAGCACAGATTACAGAGCAGAAAGTTTGGTTGGGCAGTTCTGCCCTAGATAGACCTAGATTGGAATCCAAGCATAGTTGCCACTTACTAGCTGTGTACCTTGGACAAACTGCTTAAACTCTCCAAGCGTAATTTCTTTACCTGTCTCCTAAATTTATTAGAATTTGCCATTTTAATTTGTGAGGATTTAATTTGAAATTAGTTTAATTTATAAAAATCTGGCCAAGGAGATGCCTTCAATGAAAAGAATTTTTGTGTTGCTCTTGAGGTAGGTGCTGTGAAAAACTGGGGACTACGATTTCCGCGGTTGCTTCTCTGGTTCACTGTCAGATGTTTTCTTTCAGGGATTTCTTCAGTGCCAACCCCTTCACCCCTCGGACCTCTGGCAGGCTCACCAGTGATTGCTGCTGCCAATCCCCTTGGGATGCCTGTTCCGGCTGCCGCTGGCGCTCAGCAGTAATGGCCCCTTCTGTCTCCTGATGCCTGAGCAGAGGTGGGGGAGTCCACTCTCTCCTTGATGCAGCTTGCGCCTGGTGGGGAGGGGTGAAATACTTAAGAAGCACCGTGTCTGAACCGTTGCTTGTGGATTTATAGTAGTTCAGTCATAAAAAAAATTATAATAGGCTGATTTTCTTTTTTTTTTCTTTTTTTCTTTTTTTTCTTTTTAACTCGAACTTTTCATAACTCAGGGTATTCCCTGAAAAATTACCTGCAGGTGGAGTATTTCACGGACAAATTTTTTTCTCCTTCCAAATTCACTTTCTCATCACTAAAGAACAAAGATAAACCAGCCTCAATCCCAGCTGCTGCATTTGGGTGGAGATCTCTTCCCATGACCACCATTGCTCCCCCACCATCCCACTTTGGGGGTTTGTATCTCATGCTCTTCTCCAGAGATTACAAAAATATAGCTTCTTGAAGGGAGGTGGGAAGAAAGGAGGAAGGGAAAACTCAACCTATAAGAGCAGTGTCCTGCTAATCACTTACATCACTTTAAAAGTGCTTCAATGGGGTTGTCCTGGTGAATCTAGTGGAAATGTCTTAGTTACATTGAGATGCTGAAAATCTACCCAAAGTGCAGACAGGTCCTGAAAACTTCTGTTCAGTATGAATCATGTCTTACTGACCTAACCCTAAATCCAACTCACTTATAAGTTTAGTCTCAATTTAGTTTAAAATTTTAATAACCTTTCCTCCCAGGTTTCTTACCTTGGTCCTCTCCCCTTTCATCTCCCAACATGCTCTTATAGTTGGTAGGAGGGGGAAGGCAAAATCTTTCTCAGTTTTCTTTGACTTGGCCATTTTGAATTCAGTTAGTTACTGGGCATAACTTATTGCTTTTTACAAAATTAAAAAAACATTGTCTATATAGGTTTCATGCTAGCAACTCTGGGAGCTAATGGAAGATGTGGCCACACTGTTTCATTTTAAGCTTTTACCTTCTTTTCCTCCTACCTTTCCCTTCTGTCACTTGCCATCCAGTGAGAAGGACCTGCCCCTCGGTCTTGTAAATGTATCTGAGAGGTAGGAGCAGGGCCACTGTCTCCAGTGAAACTGAAATGGTAGACCTGTAATTGTGGGAAAACTATAAACTCTCTTGTTACAGCCCTGCCACCCCTTGCTGTGTGTATATATATAATACTTTGTCCTTCATATGTGAAAGATCCAGTGTTGGAATTCTTTGGTGTAAATAAACGTTTGGTTTTATTTATCAAGGTTAGATTTAAGTTCCCTGTGTAAAGGTCTCGCTGGGTGGGTGTCTCACGTTCACATCTGAGGGGCCTGCAGCCCTGTACCATGGAGGCTTCCTAAAGCTCCCATTTTTATACACTCCTCGTTCAACCCATGGTACTGGGCAGGGCAGAGAGGCCTTAAAAAAGCACCACAAGCCAAAGCGTCTCTGGGGATTAAGGATCCTTTGCCATAAAACTTATTTTGTCTCAGCAGTGCAGGGATTGGGGATGGAAAAAGTCACCAGTTTTTGTGTGTTTGTGTGTGTGTAAAGTGGATTTTCCACTAATCCAACCACCTAAGTTTATCAGGTGCTTCACTGAGGAAGCCTAGTTTTTTAAGCACAATAGCAAAACCATCAGCTCTGTATTTTCTCCTGTTATTTCATTACAGTAGCTGCTTGTGGGGACTAGGAAAAATTCTTCCAACATAATTTAAGACCTAAAGTCTTAGTTCCCCATTCTCTTACCTTTATAGAATCATAAGCCTTTCTCACCTAGGCATCATAGATAAACATAATTATTTGAGAAGTTGAATTTAATGAATTTATCTAACTTTGTATCCCATCTTGGCTGTAGTAACTTTATCAAGGTGATGGCTTTAGTGAATATAATGGTGAGCTTTAGAGGAAGCTAAAGCCTCCTTTCATTATAATGCTTCTCAACAATAAGGAAAACATTCTGATTGTGTGGCAGGGTAATTTTCTTCCTTTTGGCCACTTAACCGTGGATATGTATTGTTCTTGACCCTTTTATGCCCTAGAATGCTGTGAGGGTTACCATGTTGAATTTGTGCAGAAGCTAAAAGCACCAGATGTGCCAGAGGTGCAATTTGTAATTACGTTTGCACTGGATTGTGATTTGAACAGGACACTTATGACTAATAAATTCTTTCTTTTGAGATGGGGAGGAGGGTTATAAATCAAAGACTTCACATCCTATCCTTGTAGCTCAGAGACTCTAGGTGTAGCAGAGGCTGATGTGGAGAGCTGCAAACAGCTGGATCTCCTAACAGGCATCAGACCTTGGCAGGAAACTGAAAGTGAATGCAGAGGACTCTGAAATGCCACCCAAGAGCCTTTTTAAATAAATAGAAGTTTTTAAAATGCTACTTAAGGAGTCACTGCATAAGCATGAAAAAAAGACCCATTTGTTGGGGGGGGGGCAAGGGTTTACAGAGTAACAACTTATGTGTTGTTGTAAATTACCTCATCTGTATACCTTGTATTGGGACACTTTATTTCTCAGCACTACTTGTGTCTGCACTGACCAGATGGCAGGAAATGGAATGCCAGTATAAGACAGTTGTGTTGGCAATTACTCCGAAAGGTTTTTTAAGTATTTTTTAACTTTGTTTGAAGTGCGCCCCCCACCCCTCTTTTTTTAAGGTTGAAGTCAGAAGTTCCCCCTCCCCCTCTTGATTTATTGGTTGTAATTGTATTGTAATTGGTAAAACGAAAACAACTGTGCTGGGAAGAAGTTGTGCCATGAAGGTCTTTAATTTTTTTTTTTTTTTTTTTTTTTAAATAAAAACATTTAAACAAATGAAATGTCCCTGCAGCCTGAGCAGTATGCTTCTCCAACCGACACCGTGTGTGATAGATGGCTTAGTTCTTATGTACTTTGAATTTAATATTGGGTTGATGGAGATGTGTAGTGGGATGGCTTAAGATTGGTCGAGGAGCACTGAAGTCTGGGAGTTTTTGACATCGAGATACAGTGACGAGAGCATGATGTTGCTGAACAGGACTGGTTTCATTCCTGCCCTTGTCATGTACTTGGCAAATTACTTAACTTCTGACTCTGTTTCATCATCTGTCAAATAGGGCCACTGCTTCCTTGGGATTGAACTAAATGTTAAATGTCTGGCACCTCTTATGCTCTTGATAAACCTAATTCCCTTGGCTCCCTGTTATGGAGGATTAGTTCTTGGTCCTGACTTGGCTAGTAATTCACAGCATAATCTCTCCCTTGGATCTCTCATAACCTCTGTTTTCAGTCAGGGGCAGACTAGGTGAGTTGTCTTCTGAGTTCCTTTTCAGCTCTGACATTGATTTTAGAAGGTTTGGTGCTTAAATGAAAAGGTTTATAGAAATAGCTTGTTCGCAGCAGAAAAGACCAGTGTTGAGTGAATGGCGGGAAGTCCTGTGAAAGGTCTACTTCGGAGATACCCCTAGCCCTGCAGGCAACTTGGCCTGGAATGAAGGTGTGCTGGTAGGCTTATGGGAGCATATTTGGCAGCTTAAGTAGAAACTTTCAAGAGGGCTGGTAAAAGAGGTGAAACTGAGTTTACTCGCTTATCAATGCAAAATGTGTAAATTCTACAAAAGTATACACTGGAATTGCCATGTATTCTTTTTCATTTAAAAGTTTTAAAAATCAATATCAGGAAATGCTGTTATCCCAAATTTCTAGTTTCCTTTAAATCTTCACTGCATATTATCTTCTGGCATGTACATGATGCTAATATTGGGAGATGAAAAGTATGATTTAGATAAAAGGAACCATTCATTGTGTAATATCTTGTATCTGAAATGCCTATAGAACTTACACGAACTTTAATTTCTAACATTTATTTTCATTTTATACATGAGAGAGAGGAAGATTAAATTTTTAGAGTGGACCTATTAGAGATAGGAATATATTTTGTAAAATTAGATCTTCAGGGCATGACTAATTACTATAGCCCCAAACTAGTAGAGAAAATTGGAGATTGGTTGACCTACTTGGGGAATTTTAATTTCCTCTCAGTCTTTAAATTTCATCTTGTTTCACCTATTATCAGGTGTGGTTATAATTAGAACTTACTGAGCATCTCTTGAAAAATCTAGTTCTGTCACCACTGCCTTCAGATTCCCATCAGCAGATTCTCTCTCAAGATTAGAATTGGATTTGGGTAGCTGTTGAAACATCAGTCTTTGCCTACCTCCCTGCTGGTAATTCTTCCTCCCTTGTGCCTCAGATTTAGGGACTGTGGCTAATTGTTGGTGGCATGCTTTTATTGTGTTATTTTGTTGATTTGTCTCTCCCCCCACCTGCATGTAAACTCCCTGAAGAGTTTGTACATCTTATTAATCTGTGGATCCTTACAAATACCTTTTTTTAAAGTGGGCTGGTATCCCTGAGGATTGAATGGAGTAGTATAAGGACAATGCTTAGTACCACACCAGACTCATAATAGATGCTCAATAAATAGTAATTTTATCCTTCACTCCTACTTCCACCTCCTCTCTTCCCACCACACAATAAGTTGATGGGAGTATTGTTGCATAAGAGCGTCTCAAGATTAGAAAAACCTTGCCCTTAGGATTTGTAGCTGTAATTATAAGCCACAGGCCCCCAGACTGAATTAACGTGATAAGAAAATGTTTAATGAGCCCTTGGTGAAATTTTAAGTGACTGAAGGCTAAGCGATAATCCCAACCAATTTAGTAGACCAAGATGCTAAAATATCTGCTTTCCACCATATCTGCTTGTCTATAATATGAAATTCAGACTATTCTCTGCCTAGAACAGTCATATAGAGGGTATCACAAGATAATCTGATTCTGGAGTCAGTCCTAATGTAGACAAGTACTTTCTAGATTGTATAACCTTACTATGATTCTGTGCTAAAAGTAGCTGCTTCAGAGAAGCAACCTGGTAGAACTGTAAATGTCTTGGTTCTAATCAGTGTTCTGTCTGGTGTGTGGTTTTGGATCAGTTACTTAACCTCTCTGAATCTTCACAAGTAACTTAAATTATTATTGTAAAACATTTTAGACATGTACCTAGTTATAAAGAAGCTGTAACACACCCATATACCTACCACCCAAGTTGAGTCTATATTACCAATTCATATGAAACCCCTTTTGTCCTTTCTTGATCGTGTCCTCTTCCTCTCTGCCCTAGAGGTCCTCATATTTTCTTCATCTGTAAAATGAGGTGTAAATACCTGTTTTGTAGGATGGTCGTTCAGATTAGGCGATAAAACGTTTGGAAAGTACCCAGCACGGTGTCTGACAGTAGAGTTGGACTATGTGTTCATTTCCACTCGGAATTGTATAGTTGTGCAGATTGTATGCAGAAAAAGATGCCACATCTACAGTGATACTATAGATTCGTATGTTTATTCCTACACTTTTACAGTAGATGGCAGTCATGTCTCTTGTTCTAGAAGAAAAAATCCATGTATTAAATATAATGGTTTTTTCAGATGCAAGTCAAGTTTCTAATTTGCATTGCCCTGTTCCCCGCACCCTCTTTTTCTCTAAGATTCTATCACCCCATCTCCTCTGAATTTTTAATTTCTCTGCTAAAAGCCAGTATTCTTGCACTGTAGCAAACTACAATCTGGATTTGCCTCCCTGTAGCCATAATCACCAGGGATTCTTAGTGGCCTCAGTGTAAGAAGCTCTCCCCCAGGTACCTCCAGGTGGGAGTTTATAGGGTGGCCAATCTGTTTCTTGGAGAAGTTCCTGAGGAAATTGAGTATTTCTGAGTCAGCTCCCTTCTTGCATCACCTGCTTCGGCAGCATTTTCTTGGCTCCTTAAATGAGAGAAAGGAAAAGCAACAGTTGGCAAGTGGTTTCCTCATCCCACCCTGTGAGTCAGAGTCAAATATTTGTAGACTTAATCTAGAAAGGCTTGCTTCTGTGTATTGAGCAGTTCTAAGAACTCTACAGTGAATTTCCTATGAAGAAGTCCAAATACCTATGGCTCTCCATACTTTGATGTATACTTCATTCTGTTCCCCACTCAATTCATCCTCTCAACCCAGGGTTCCTTATGCACTCACCCTTTTGAGAGGTCTTTCCAGAGTTCATCTGTCCAACATGCCCTTTGACACAAATTCGTTGGCGTCCATGGCCCTGGTAGCCCTGTGCTAAATGCTAGAGATCGAAAGAGATATTGACACAAACCCATGGGGAAATATGTTCTTTTCAAATAGAAAGGCAGGAAACAAAATTGTGTATATGGGATCATTTCAACTGTGTAAAAAAATA